GCGAGGTCCAGGCATGCGCGGGCCTCGCGGCGAAGCCCAGCGTGTCGGAGGCCAAGGCTTTTCTTCGTGGGCGCGGCGCGGCCGCGCTCGCTTCGCGGCCCGGGAAGGTCTCGCAGCTGCGCAACACGGCGGGGCACCCCGACGTGTCGCTGTGCCAGGACATCCACGAGGCGTTCGTGGGGTCCGTCAAGGTTGACGCGAACAGCCCCTGGTCGCACGGCGTGGAGAGCTACGGCATATCCTCCTACATGGAGTCGGGGGAGGAGGAGCTGGCGTTCAAGGAGGAGCAATTCGGCAACATCCCGGCTTTCCCGCTGCTGGTCGACAGCGGGGCGGGCATGGGGGAGTCCCGTTGGGGCACAGCGCCGCGGTCGAGGATGGATCCTGTGACAAGGTCCTGGGGGCCATCGCTGACATTGAGGACATCGCCATGACTCTGCGGGCGGACGTCCTGGGCATCGTTGGCGTTGTGGCACCGCTCGTGGACAGCGGCCACATGGAGCCGCACATGGATAAGTCCGTGGCCGTGCCCATGGTCCACGCGCAGGAGGCGCACTACGTGGAGAAGATCGAGGAGGTGCCCCAGGCCCTCCAGGAGAGGGGCGTGGAGGTGCCTGAGGACCCAGTGCCGGAGTTGCACTGCGTTGAGAAGGTCCTGGAGGATGACGGCATTCGTAAGGCCGTCAAGTGCGAGAAGCTGCTGCAGACAACCGTGGAGGTGCAGGACGAGCAGATCTTGAAGCATAATGGGAAGATCAGCGAGGCGTCGCACTCCCTGGAGCAGGATGTCATGCCCAAACAGCAGCAGCAGCAGGTGGAGTGCGAGGCGGTCGAGGACGCCTCGGACTCGTGCGGCCTGGACGCGGACGAGGAGGAGGCAGACGAATATTGCCCTCTCGAGGACGCGGGCGGCACCAAGGTGGAGAAAGGCGTTCTCCCATGTGCGTGTGTGTGCCGTGAGCTGCTCGCCGTAATGCGTGAGATCAACCCTGATGTGAGCGATGGGGCGCTCGACGCGTTTGCGTGCTTGAGCCAGGAGTCGCAACAGGGTCTCCTAGAGAAGTACAGGTGTGCTCTCGCCGCCGCTGCCTAGGCGGCCGTGGCGGTGCGTGAGCCTCTTTGCTGTGCGTCGGGCGCGCTGTTGAGGGAGTGGCTTCGGTGGTCTTCCTGCGCGTGGCAGGAGGCACAGCCTGGAGAATAGCGGTGTGCGCGGTCCCAGGTGATGCTGCATACCTCTCAGGGAGTGGCTACGGTGGTCTTCTCTCGTCTGGAGGGAGGCGCGGACTGGAGGGTAGCGCGAGCAGCGCAGCCCCAGGTGACGCCGCATACCTGCGTCTCGAGCCTTTCGCCAGCAGCGCGTGCTCGAGCATTGTTCTGTCTCTCTTTTCGGGCTGTTCCCTCCAGCCTCGACTGTCTTGAGGCGCCGTCCCATCCCATCCCATCCTCCTCCTCCTCCCCCTCCTCCTCCTCCTCCTCCTCCTCCTCCTCCTTCTCCTCATCCTCCTCCTCCTCTTCCTCCTCCTCCTCCTCCTTTGCTCCTCCTTTGCTGCTGCTCCTCCTCCTCCTCCTCCTCCTCCTCTCTCCTCCTCCTCCCCTCCTCCTCCTCCTCCTCCTCCCCTCCCCCTCCCCTTCCCCCTCCTCCTCCACCTCCTCCTTCTCCTCCTCTTCCTCCTCCTCCTCCTCCTCCTCCTCCTCCTCCTCCTCCCTCCTCGCCCTCCCCTCCTCGGGTCGCCTACAGCCCTGGGGGGAACCGTCCAACCGTCCCCCGTCTCCCCCTGCAGCAGAGAAAACACGACTCCCCGCCGCGACCTCGCGACGCTCCAGGGCCCTCTTGTCGGTGAGCCTCACACCCCCGATTTCTTCGGAGGCCCCGCGGTGGGGTGGCCCGCGCAGGACGCGCAGATGGAGGAATAGATTTTGCGGAGACATGAACTTTCGAAAAACCGCGCGGATGTTTTGAATCTGCGCTGGACCTCCCTGGAGGCGCCTCTGGCGTTGCCCCTGGCGCGCTTTCCGCGCCAGGGAGGGAGGTCCCTGCGCCGATTCAAGAAATCCGCGCGGACCTCCGAACCTTCTGGTTATGTGCGTTTGATTTTTGGAAGCCCTGGCGCGCAGATCCAAGAGATCCGCGCGAAACAAAAGTACTGATCTTGGCCTTTTCCTTCTCCTTTTCCTCCTCCTTTTCCTCCTCCTCCTCCTCCTCCACCTCCTCCCCCTCCTCGTTCTCCTCCTCCTCCTCCTCCTCCTCTTCCCGCTGCTCCTCCACCCCTTTCTTCTAAACCATCCAAGACCCGGCAGATCCGCAGAAGCATCAAATTTCGGAGGTCCGCGCGGATGTTCTTCGGCGGCGAGCGAGGGGGGGAAGTGAGAAGGAAAAGGCCTTCTCAGAAGGCGGCAGGACTTCTCGGAAACCATCGCGCCTTCTGAGAGGTTTTTGTTGGTCTCCAGGGAAGTCTCGGAAAACTTGTCCGAAGGCCAGGGGATCTCCGAGCCTTCTGAGAAGGCCCGCCCCTTATCACTTCCCCCACGCGCTCGCCGTCAATTTCTGGATCGGCGCAGGGGCCCCCCTCCCTGGCGCGCAACGCGCGCCGGGGGCGGCGCCGGAGGCGCTATCAGGGAGGTCCAGCGCAGATCCAAGAAACGCGCGCCCGTGTCTGGAGGAAGAGCAGCTGTATGGGCAGAAGGTTCTGGATGTCCGCGATGACTTCTTGGGGATCGGCGCAGTGACCTCCCTCGCTGGCACGCGCAGAGCGCGCCAGGGGCGGCGCCTAGGAAGGTCCGGCGCAGAGCCAAGAAGTGCGCGCCTGGGCCTCCAAGAAGAAAGCGTACATGAGCATACGTTTCGGAGGTCCGCGCGGATTTCTCGAATCGGCGCAGGGACCCTCCCTGGCGTGCGGAGCGCGCCAGGGGCGGCGCCGGTGGGGAGGTCCAGCGCAGATTCAAGAAGTCCGCGCCCAGGCGTAGAGCAAAAACATGCATAAAAGCAAAGTTTCGAAGTTCATATGACTTCGGGAGACTCGATATTGAAATTCGCACGAAGTCGCAGGTTTCAGACGGATTCTGGCATGCGATTGCAACGACGCGCGCCTGTGGTTTTTGTTTAATGTGTTGCAGGGCTGTGTTGGAAATAAATGATTTTTGATAAACGAGCGTGCGCGCATATTTTGAGGGAGAGGGAGTTTCTGTGGAACTCACGTCATCCTGACCCCCGGCGCGCGAGGCAATGGCCCCGCCGACCGCCCCTCCTGTTCCGTTTCAGGCGAGATCCGGGAAATCCGGCAAATGCGGCGACGAATTCCAAACTGGTGCCCTCGCGTGGGACCGCGCCCGGAGCCTTCCCAAGAAGGCCCTCACAGGCCCCCGTGTTCCGTTTCAGGCGAGATCGGGGAAATCCGGGAAAGCCCGCGAATCCGGCAATTCCTGTCAGGGATGAGGGGGGGCTTCTCGGATCTTCTCGGGGCCCTCTTGGGGGCATGCTGGGGGTCTCGGGGGCACATCCGTGTCCGGCTCGTTGGAGTTTCTCGGGTCCCTCCCGAGGGTTTTCGATCGCCTGTTCGAGGTCTTGGGGGCCCCCTTGGGCTTTGGGGGGCCCGTCGGGGGCGTCTTGGGCTTTCAGAAGCCCCGCAGGGCGAACGGGAAAATGATTGTGAAAGCCTTAAGGCCAGTGCCGCCAACCCACAAGGACGACGACGACGACGACGACGACGACCACGACGACGAGGACAACGACGAGCTGATGACCCTGACATCGAGGGAGGAGGAGGGGGAGGAGAAGGAGGAGGAGGAGGAGGAGGAGGAGGCGTGTTGGGCCTTCAGAAGGCCCACAGGGCGAACGCGAAAATGATTCAACAAACTTTGGCGAATACGTAGCACCCCGCAATTGCGGATAAGAGAGAGGGGGCGAGCGCGGGCGACGCGGGCGTCGAGCCGGCGGACCTCGCGAGCCTGGAACGAATGCGAAAGAAACCCGCCGCAGGCGCCGAAGTTTTGGTTTGTTCAGTGAACGTAGTTTGGGTCGCGGGTGGGTCGCGGGCTCTCGACTTCCACCTGGAAGGAATTCGAAAACAGCCCGCCGCAGGCGCCGAAAGTTTTGATCTGTACACTGAACGCGGTTTGGGTCGCTGGTGGGTCGCAGGTTCTCCACCTGGAACGAATGCAAAAGAAGCCCGCCGCAGGCGCCGAAAATTTTGGGTGGGTCGCGGGGTGGGTCGCGGGTGGGTCGCGGGTGGGTCGCGGTGGGTCGCGGGTGGGTCGCGGGCGCGGTTTGGGTCGCGGGTGGGTCGCAGGTTCTCCACCTGGAACGAATGCAAACGAAACCCGCCGCAGGTGCCGAAAATTTTGGGTGGGTCGCGGGGTGGGTCGCGGGTGTGTCGCGGGTGGGTCGCGGTGGGTCGCGGGTGGGTCGCGGGGTGGGTCGCGGGTGGGTCGCGGGGTGGGTCGCGGGTGGGTCGCGGGTAGGTCGCCGGTGGGTCGCGGATGGGTCGCCGGGGGGGTCTCGGGGTGGGTCGCGGGCGGGTCGCGGGGTGTGTCGCGGGTGGGTCGCGGGTGGGTCGCGGGTGGGTCCCGCGGGTGGGTCGAGGGTAGGTCGAGGGTGGGTCGCGGGGTGGGTCGCGGGTGGGACGACGACAACAACAAACAAACAAACAAACAAACAAACAACAAACAAATAACAAACAACAAACAACAAGCAACAAAACAAACAAACAAATAAACAAACAAAACAACAAACAACAAACAACAACATTGACAAAAACAACAACAATAATCCGCATCGCGGGATTCCACTTCAGCCACGCACCCAGGGACTGAATGACCGTTCGGTTCAGCCCCCATCGCTCTGATGTGATGCTTGCCTCTTGAAGCCCTTCTTGGGAGTCCTCCCGAGGCCCGCTTGGCGAGTCTTCGGAGCCTCCCGGGTCGTCTTGAGGCCATCTGCGGATGTTCTCTCGGGGACTCTGCGGCCTTCGGAGCCCCAGCTTCGGCCGTCCCAGAGGGCGCACGGGGCATCGTGGGTGGGCTTGGAGGCTCCGCCGGCCCAGGTGGTGCGCCGGGGAGCTCGTCGGCCCCCTGCACTGGGCCCCCCGGGGGAGGGGGCGTGCGAGAGGGGGGCGCCAAGCATCCCACACGCGTCTTCACCCCCCAGAAGGCGGGCGTCAGCGAATGCAGCACCAGCTCGCTGCTGCTCTCAGGCTTCGTCTTGAGGCCTCGCCTTCCTCTTGTTCCGAGCCTTCGTGCGACTGGGTATTCGTTGATCGAGCACTGCTGGTGCTGCTCCTCCTCATCCTCCCCCTCTTCCTCTCCTCTTCCCGCCTTCGTAGCCATTTGGGCTCAAGCTTTCGGATCAGCCCTAGCCACGCTTGGGAACATACATCGTTATACATAGTTCATATTCAGTCAGCGCCCAACTGGGCCCACACTCTTTCTCACCCGATGGCAGTTGGGACCACGATGGTGAAACGGAACGTCCAGAAGTGTTCGTCGGGGTTTGCCGCCCAAATTTCTCTCGTAAGTATCGCAGTGTTCTTTACGAATTTCTTCGTGTTACGCCTGGTGTGGACTTATCCGTCCAGCATGGCGGGAGGGACACAGGTTCAAGTAGAATTCTTATTGGTGTTGTGGTTCGTTGTGTTCGCCCACTTCCTGGATGCTTCCAGGTCGAGAGCCACGGAACCAACCACCGATACGAAGAAGCGTGTTGCGAAGAAGCGGGTGATCGACAAGTTGGCTCCTGATGGTCGACGTCAGGTTGGTTCCGCAGTCCCCACGGCAGACGGGGCGCCGCTCGTGAAGCAACACCTTTGCCATGGCAGCTCCACGGACACGGCGGATCCATCTGGACAGGAGCGTGTTTCTGTATTGACTCGGGGCATAATGGGCCTTCTAGCTTCCGACCCCCCCTCCTCCCCCCCCCTTTCACGTAGCGCCCCTCCTTCCGCCAGAGCGCCCCAGGCACTGCCGCCGTGCGCACGGCGAGTTCGAGGCGTTACATTATACCCTCCCCTGGCCCCTCCCCCCTATAATGCCCATTATCGCCGCCGAAAATAAAGAAACGCGCTCCAGGAAGCCCGTCGACAGAGGTCCGATCTGCACATCACCAGCTGCACCTTGGCAGTGGGCTTGCCCTGCAAGACCTCCAGAGTTTTGGAAGTGATGCACAGCTGCATCCGGCTCGCACATGGAGATCACCACCCACCAAACCAACCCAACCCAACCCGAAGGCTTCAATTTGCCCTCAATTTCCAGTGGGGGGGGGTCGGGAAACATTGAAACACAAACATGTGGAACCCGTACCCCCCCAATCTGAAATTCGGGTCTTCGGGTTGGGTTGGGGTGGCTTGGTAGGTAGTCAGGAGAGGCAGCTGTGAAGCTGTTCGACCAGATGTTGCAGACTGGTCCCCCTCCCAACGCACACCTCATTGGCAAGGCCGTATCACACAGGTTCTTCACGCTGGTCGGCGAAACTCTCGATCATAAGCGCATTCAGGAAGACGGAGTACGGCTTCTTGAGCTTATTCAATCGCTTCGCCCACTTCACAGGCCCACATTGTATCAACTTTGGCACTTGCTTGCCTGCTCGCGGGGGCTGAGAAAGTGGTGGGTTGCGGTCGATTCCCTGAGCTGTCGCGTGAACCTCCCTTGAGGGAGCAAGCGTGGCAGGGTACTTGCAGGTAGCAGTCAATGGAGCACGCCCCCAGCAAAGTTGCGTCAGTGCAGCGTGCCATCGTGGGTCAGAGGCGTGTTGGGTGCCTCGCGGGTTCTCTTGGGATGCCTCTCGGGCGGCCTCTTTGGTGGCCTCCTGGGGGCTTCCCGAGGCCTCTCGGGAGCCTCTCGGGAGCCTCTCTGGGGGCCACCGGGGGGGTTCTTGGAGGTCTGTTGCGGCATTTTGGGGCCGCTTGAGGTTTTCTTGGGTGGCTCTCGGGGGCCTGGCGGTAGTCTTGTAGGTTCTCTCGATGGCCTGTCGGGGACGTCCTGTGCGGTTCTTGGGCAGTCCTGGGGTCCTCTTGGGCCGTCTTGGGGCTCTTTTGGCAGCCCCTGGTGCCGTCTTGAAGCGATCTCGGTCGGCGATTTCTATGAATGTCTTCGGCTGCCGGAAACCTGGAGGTACAACAACGCAAATTTCCTGAACTGCGCTTGAACCAGCGGTTTTCCTATCCAAATTTAAGTTTCGATTCGGAGTTTTCGACGAGGGCATCTTGCCCGCGCCGAAATCACCGTCTCACGTCGTCGTCGGTCGCATCCAGGAGCGCTTTGGCTCAAGCCGCCGGCGGCCCCAAAGGCCGCCGGCTGCATGGTCCGCCACCCGGGCCGCATCGAAGCCGACCAGGTTGCCCGCCACCTCAAGACGAGGCCGATTATTGGGCGCGGGTCTGGGCTGCAATGCTGGCATGTGGCTGAGTGGAACGTGCGAATTGGCATCCGTGGAGGGCGCATGTGGAGCCTCCAATTGGTGCCCCTCATAACTCACAAGTTCGGGCGGAGCCGAACATGGGCACGACACCCTCGAGGATTTTACGGGAGTGGCGCCTGGGCGACCTTGAGCCTCTTACCTGAGAGCCTCAACATGGGCACGACATCATCGAGGACAGAGCGGGGGTCATGTTGAGCCTTCGGCCTGGACATAGGCACAACGTGAAGGCGGAATCCCCGAGGACTACGCAGGAGCCGCGTTGAGCATCTGACTTGAGAGGCTCAACACGGGCTCAACATGGGCACGACATTCACGAGTACCACGAGGGAGTCATGTTGAGCCGCTGACCTGAGGGTCTCAACTTGGGCCGAACGTGCGTACGACCTCCTCGAGGACAACGCGGGGGAGGCGCCTGGCGCCGATGAGCCTCTGACCCGAAGGACTCCACATGGTTCAGAAATCATCGCGTACCTTACGGGGGTGACGCCTGGGCGACGTTGAGCCTCTGACCTGAGTGGATCAACTTGGGCTTCGAGGGCCGTGTGGGAGTGACGCCTGGGCGACGTTGGGCCTCTTACCTGTCTGGGAGGCTCCACATGGGCCCAACATGTGCGGGGAGCCACTGGAAAATATATGGGAATCACGTTGAGCCTCTGACCCGCGTGTCTGAACTTGGGCTTAACATGGACACGCAATCCCATAGGATTTTGCGGGAGTCACGTGGAGCCCCATCACCTGAGGGTCTCAACAAGGGCTCAGCATGGGTGCGATATCCCCGAGGACTATGCGGGAATCATTTTGAGCCCCTGCCGTCGGTGAGGGCTTCGACATGGCCCAAACGCAGGCGCGGCATCCTTGAGAACTGCGCGGGGGTCATGTTGAAACCCTGCCTCGAGGGTCTTAACGTTGTCCCAACGTGGGCACGAAGTATTCGAGGACACAGCGGGAGTCGCACTTGGGCGATGTTGAGCCCTTCGCTTGGGGTTCTCAACCTGACTTCGACACGGGCACGACGTCCCCGAGGACCGTGCGGGAGTCGCGCCTTGGCGACGTTGAGCCCCTGGCACGAGGGTCTCAACGCTGTCTCAACATGGGAACGGCATCCTCGCGGACAAAGCGGAAGCACCTCTTGGGCGATGTTGAGCCCCCCGCATGAGGGTCTCAACGTGGTCTTACCATCGGCGCGGAATCCTCGATGCTTTTGCGGTAATTCTGGTGGAATCGTGTTTCGGAGGGTTTCGACGCGGTGCTATCAACGTGGGCGCGGGATCTCCGATGACCGCGGGTCGGAAGAAGACCGGTTCAACAGACGACTGGTTCAACAGGGACTGTTTCAACAGACGACTGGTTCAAGAGGGACCGGTTCAACAGACGACCGGTTCAACAAGGACCGGTTCAACAAAGACCAGTTCAACAGGACCGGTTCCGCAGAACCGGTTCCACAGAACCGGTTCCACAGGACCGGTTCCGCAGGACCGGTACCACAGAACCGGTTCCACAAGCCCGGTTCCACAGGACTGGTTCCACAGGACCGGTTCCACAGGACGGGTTCCACAGAGGCGGTTCCTTCCTGCTACTCTCTCTCATTACACTGTTGCTGCTGTTGCTGCTGCTGCTGCTCCTCCTCCTCTTCTTCCTCCTCCTCCTCATCCATCCCTCTCTGCCCTCCCGCCCTCCCCCATCCCTCGTTGCTGCTACGTCCCCCCGCCCCACATCCCTCACCCCTCCCTACTTCCTCCTCCCCTCTCCTCCCTGATCTATCATCGACGGCCACCCACCCGACCCGTCCTGCCCGACCCGACCCGACCCGTCCCGCCCGTTAGGGTCCGCCCGCCCGACCCGTCCCGCCCGTTAGGGTGCTCGCGTGCCAACTCGATGGCGCATCATTCTTTAATGTCCCGCCCGCCTGACACGACCCGAACCGCCCGTTAGGGTCCGCCCGCCCGACCCGACCCGTCCCGCCCGTCAGGGTCCGCCGGGCCGCCGGACCCGTCCCGCCCGTTAGGGTACTCGCGTGCCAGCTCGATGGCGCATCATACTTTAATGTCCGCCCGACCCGACCCGACCCGCCCGTTAGGGTCCGCCCGCCGGACCCGTCCCGCCCGTTAGGGTACTCCGGTGCCACCTCGATGATGCATCATTATTTGATGTTCATGATGCCTACCCGCCGGACGTTCCCGTCCGTGAGGCTCCACTGGCCGCGGGAGGTACCCGTCCCTGGACCGCCCGTCCGACCGTCACGCCCGTTTGGGTAAGACGCGTGGCCCTACGATTCTTTTCTGGATTGTTTTCATATCGATTTGTGTTGTGGTTATTGTTTTTTTTTTCGGATTATTCTTTTTTTTATTCTTATTCGATAATGCATCATAATTTAATGTTCTCCGCCCGCCCGACCCGACCCGACCGCGTTTAGGGTCCGCCGGGCCGACCCGACCCGTCCCGCCCGTCAGGGTCTGCCCGCCCGACCCTTCCCGCCCGTTAGGGTACTCGCGTGCCAACTCGATGGTGCATCATTCTATAATGTCCCGCACGCCCGACCCGACCCGTCCCGCCCGTTAGGGTCCGCCCGCCCGACCCGAACCGTCCCGCCCGTTCGGGTCTGCCCGCCCGACCCGACCCGACCCGTCCCGCCCGTTAGCGCATTCGCGTGCCATTTTTATGATGCATTTTTTTTTATATCCCGCCCGCCCGACCCGACCCGTCCTGTCCGTTAGGGTCCGCCCGCCCGCCCGACCCGTCCCGCCCGTTAGGGTCCACTGGGCCGCCGGACGCGTTCCGCCCGCTTTGGGCACTCGCGTGCCAACTCATGGTTGGCATGTTACTTTAATGTCCCGCCGCCCGGCCCGACCCGACCCGCCCGTGTTTGGGTTCGCCCCGCCCGACACGACCAACCCTCCCGTTAGGTCCCGCCCGTCCCGTGTAGGTCCCGCCCGTCCGCCCGACCGTCCCGCCCGTTAGGGTATTCGCGTGCCAACTCGATGGTGCATCATACTTTAATGTCCCGCCCGCCCGACCCGACCCGACCCGCTTGTTAGGGTCCGCCCGCCCGACCCGACCCGTCCCGCCCGTCAGGGTCCGCCCGCCCGACCCGTCCCGCCCGTCAGGTACTTTTTTTTTTTTTTTTTTTCGCGTGCCAACTCGATGGTGCATTATTCTTTAATGTTCCCGCGCCCGACCCGTAACGTCCGCACGTTAGGGTCCGATCGCCCGTCCGACCCGTCCGCCGACCCGCCCGACCCGTCCCGCCGTTTAGGGTACTCGCGTGCCCAACTCGATGATGCAATCCTATTTTATTGTCCCGCCAGCCCGACCCGACCCGACCCGCCCGTTGAGGGTCCGCCGGGTCCGCACGCCAGACCCGACCCGTCCCGCCCTTTGCTCGTCGCCCGCCCGACCGTCCAGCCGTTTGGGTTACTCGGTGCACTCGATGGGCAATCATTCTTTAATGTCCCGGCCGCCGACCCTCGCTTCTCCCGCCCGTTAGGGTCCGCCCGCCCGCCGGACCCGTCCCGCCCGTTAGGGTCCGCCGGGCCGCCGGACCCGTCCCGCCCGTCAGGGTACTCGCGTGCCAACTCGATGGTGCATCATACTTTAATGTCCTGCCCGCCCGACCCGACCCGACCCGCCCGTTAGGGTCCGCCCGCCCGACCCGACCCGTCCCGCCCGTTAGGGTCCGACGGCCCGCCGGACCCGTCCCGCCCGTTAGGGTACTCGCGTGCCAACTCGATGGTACATCATACTTGAATGTCCCGCCCGCCCGACCCGACCCGACCTTTCCCGTTAAGGTCCGCCCGCCCGACCCGACCCGTCCCGCCCGTGAGGGTCCGCCCGCCCGCTGGGACCGTCCGCCCGTTCAGGTACTCGCGCGCCAACTCGATGGTGCATCATTCTTTAATGTCCCGCCCGCCCGTCCGACCCGACCCGCCCGTTAGGGTCCGCCGGCCCGACCCGACCCGCCCCGCCCGTTAGGGTCCGCCCGCCCGCTGGACCCGTCCCGCCCGTTAGGGTACTCGCGTGCCAACTCGATGATGCATTCTACTTGAATGTCCCGCCCGCCCGACCCGACCCGTCCCGCCCGTTAGGGTCCGCCCGTTATGGTCGGCCGGCCCGCCGGACCCGTCCCGCCCGTTAGGGTACTCGCGTGCCAACTCGATGATGCATTCTACTTGAATGTCCCGCCCGCCGGACCCGATCCGCCCCGCCCGTTCG